AACTCCTCAAACAGTTATTAAGACATCACCCCTTCATGCAGTGACAGTGTCAAGCTGTGGTAGATCTGGTGAACACAGAATAAAATAAGGAATAAAAGTGCCTTGTTGAATAAAACACTGTTGTGTTTATCATTATCATTTTCACCACTGTTCTGCCTATCATTATCATTTTCACCACTGTTTTGTTCATCATTATCATTTTACCACTGCTTTGTTTATCAATTTCACCTCTGTTATGTTTATTCATTTTCACCACTGCTTTGTTTATCCTGATCATTGTCACCACTGTTATGTTTATTCATTTTCACCACTGCTTTGTTTATCCTTATCATTTTCTTCACTGTTATGTTTATTCATTTTCACCACTGCTTTGTTTATCTTTATCATTTTCACCACTACTTTGTTTATCTTTATCATATTCACCACTGTTGCTTTTATCACTGTGATTTCCACCACCGTTGTGTTTATTTTTATCATTTTAATTTTTGTTGCGTTTATCATCATCATTTCCACTACTGTTGTGTTTATCATTATCATTTTCATCACTGCTGTTTTTATCATCATGACTTGCTCCACTGTTACATTTATCATTATGATTTTCAATACTGTTGTGTGGTTATTATTTTCATATTCACCACTGTTTTGTTTATTATTATCGTTTTCACCACCGTTCTGTTTATCGTTATCATTTTCAAAACTGTTATGTTTATCCACTGTTGTTTTTATCACTGTGATTTCCAACACTGTTCTGTTTATTGTTATCATTTTCATCTTTGTTGGGTTTATCATCATCATTTTCACCACTGTTCTGTTTGTCATTATGATTGTCACCACTGTTCTGTTTATCATTATTTTTCTCAACACTGTTATGTTTATACTTATCATTTTAACCACTGTTCTGTTTATTGTTACCAATTTCACTTTTGTTGCGTTTATCCTCATCATTTTCACTACTGTTGTGTTTATTTATTTTCACCACTGTTATGTTTATCCGTATCATTTTCACCACTGTCATGTTTATCATTATCATTTTCACCACTGTTGGGTTGATCATTATGATTCTGGAACCCATTTACACAATGAACTACACCTGTATTTGGCTGAAAAAAGGACCACAACGGGGTTACGGCAACTTGGATACTCCGGTTGTAGCTGGTTTATTTAAAAACCCTAACTATTTGGATAAAATGAACAAATTGCTTGAATAATCGACAAAGTTATTAAAAAATCTTGAATACAATGTAACATAACCAGTTAATTGAATAAACGGAACAGGATATACGGAAACAACTATTGCCCATACTAGTATCTAGACTGAAATTGTGCATATTGACGGGTGTACAGTTTAAATGTAACTGATTTCAACCTTCCCTTCCCAGACTTTGTGTTGATAGGGACAATGCCGATGTCAGTAATTCTGTCATATACCACTGAACTTCTCCCATGTATCTTTTGGAATAGGGGTTGGCCACTGATCTGCCCATGGTGCCAGCTGTTGAAATTTATTGACCTGAAGTCGAGAAAGAGAATCTGCCAATTCATTATAATTTCCGGGGATCTGTTTTGCCTTAAACCTGATGTTGCATCTGAGACAACCTAATACCATTCTTCTAACAAGACTCATAATGCCCGTATTTTAACATAATTGCTTGTTTATTATATGCACCACTGCAGCATTGTCTGACCTAAACAAAATTGCCTGGTTAGACATGAGCTCACCCCAGACCTCAATTGCCAGTACAATGGGAAAGAGTTCCAAAAATATTCTGCTGTATATACAATTATCTGGTCAACTTCCATAAAACCAATGCGAGCCAAATAATGCCCCAAAATCAGTAGATACCGCTGCATCGGTGATCAGCTGGGATGCCAGGTCTTCAGATAACTGACTTATGATGAAGAAAGCTTTTCCATTGAAGTGCAGCAGGAAATCGTGCCAAAGAAGTAGTTCTAATTTAGTACAGTGATTGATACGACGATGATGATGAGGCTGAGTTAAACCCAAAGTCAAGTCAATCAGGCACCTTAAAAAGGCTCTGCCCAGGGTGACAACCGTACAAGCAAAATTAAGCGTCTCAACCAGGGACTGGATTTCTTTGAGGGTTGCCTTTTTGCATCCAAGAAACTGCTGAACTTGAAATACGCAACGTTGCATTTTTTTTTCAAGTTGGAGACTAGCTTGCATCAAAACAGTGTTTAATTCAATACCCACAAAGCACAAAACAGTAGCAGATTCCTCTGTTTTCTCCTTGGCTAATGTGACTCCCAATTCATTACCTAGACTAAAAAAATCATCAAGATCCTTTTTACAGTAATAAAAGTCCCTGTCAACGAACAAAAAATCATCCAAAATATGTAGAACTGCTCTTGCATGCTTTGACTGTCCAGTCATCCATTTCAAAGCACTGCTAAAAGCTTCAAAAATTCAGCAGAATGCTACACACCCCATTGGTAAACATTTATCATAATAGAAAAGTTCTTGCCACTTAAACCCCAGCAAATTATAATAAAATGGTGCCGCTGGGATAATCCTGAATGTAGAGCAAATATCTGTTTTGGCCAAGTAGCAGCCCTGGCCAAATTGTATGATTGCCTGAACCGCATTATCCACTCGTGATTACTTAACTGTAGTTAGTTCGGTGGAATGCCATCATTAATGGAGTTACCCTGTGGTCAAGGCAAATGATGGATCAGTCTGAATTCACCTGGTACCTTCTTTGGAACAACACCCAATGGTGAACAATGACAAATGTAAAAGGTTTTTTTCGGAAATGGCCCAGCAATCCTTCCTGCAGCTAATTCTTTCTGCAATTTGTTGTCAACAACCCCTGGTTGCTCAACAGCTGATCTAAGATTAGGTGAATCAGACGTTATGTTATCTCCAAAAAATCCAATAAAAAAACCACAACTAAAACTATCAATAAGGTACTGAGCCATAATAGGATCATACCCAGATAACCTTAGTTGTAACTGCTCAATGTTTATTGGGGTGGGTAATCGATCTATAAGGTAAACTGGGGTTGATTGAGCTATATCCATTGCTAGATCCTGTTTGCAAAACCTATTTTATGATTTTGCAATTCAAACCTGGGTGGGATTGTGAGGGTAGTTGCACCCGGAACATGGCTCTCCTCTCTGGTACTTGTAACATTCTCCTTTTGGGAGGAAGCCCTTGGAACGAAAGGACTGAGAACTGTTTTGGAAAGACTGGCGAGGAGATTGTTTTGCTCTCAAATACAACTCAATGTGCAACTGACCCCGAGGTAAGGCTGCCTGTTGACGTAATTTGCGAAAATTTGTTTCATAGTACTTCCAGTCCCCTCTTCCAGTTGCTATTTTCATGACAGTATGCATGTATTTCATAAGACCAGGTGTATCTGAATTAAATTTAGCTGAATAAATTGCTATGAATATTTGAGAAGCAGATGACAATTTTGCAATTGAGTCAATGGGTATCTGTTTTTCAGTAGGAATCAGGCGAAAAGATGGGCTGTCACTCTGAGAAGGGTTCATAACTGATAATGTATACTGTTCCTTTTTATATTTTGACAACAAACTACCCATATCAACAAACTCATTACACCAAATTTTGTTTTTAACTTTGTTTGGCACAGTAGCACTAATGGAACAGTTACACTTGTAAAATGACTAACTTTCCCTCCTCCCACCTGATCCTGTACAGAATATTGTGGACAGAAACCTGTTATTTCATTACCCGAATCCAGAACAGCATTCGCAACCACTGTTGTAGTAGCTGAGATGCTCATACAAGATGTTGGAGTTGCAATGACCCCAGGTGTGATGTTGGCTTGACTTGCTTGCATCGAGTTTGCTAGGTTGGTAAACGTCTCAATGCCATTGAGTAATGCTGAAGTAGACTGTTGAAGAAGTGCTGCTGTTTCTGCAAATGCTTGTGATGTGCTTGGTTGAATCACTGGTACACTAGGAGAAGGCTGCGCTGGTGCATCCTGTGTTGATACTGGTGTTGCACCAACATCAGATATGGCTGTTGTTTCCATGGTAACA